ACAATAGCATTGCAATGAGTATTATTCTTAATCACAATGATGATCATGCTCGGAGACATTTCCTTGTTGTTCTTTTATTCTTTTGAATTATAAGCTGATTCCTCTCGAGTAATATTTCTCTCTTTTGTCTTTGGGAAGTCTCTTATATTTCATATTTTTATTCCTTAGGCTTACTTGTGCCTCCTTTGGCTGAGCTTCTACATAGAGCGTCCTAGTGCATTCTTTTTTATTTTAAACTTGTTGGACAAGACGAGCTTTACAATTATTCTCTCATAGAATTATTCATAAGCTCGGGAAGAGTCTGCAAGGTAAGATGCAAAGAATTTCTATAAATCTGCCTCTCATAGTTTGTATGATGCTTCATCTGATTAGACTTATGTTGTTAACTACTCCAAAAAATCTAATAAACAGTCTCATGAGAATTTCAAAGTTGCCCTCATTAGCTTCCGAGATCATGTGTTTTGCATGAGACAAAGCTCCAATAAGATCATTTTTATAATCCAACTTTTTATTTTTCATAATGAATGATAGGTTCATAATTTCAATACTCATATATATGGTTGTATTCTAATCAAGTGGAATGTTGTCTCTATAAATTTACAACCCCTCATTATTGATAGTCGATTCATCCCTTGTTTACTCTCGATCAACAACCTTCAACCTATTATTTTCATGATTATCTATAGCTCCAATGGTGCTATTGATAGAACAAAAAAAATTCTTTCCTCATAATGATAGCCCCTTATTTTTTAGATTGTACTTTGTAGCCTCTTTGAATCCTTGTTTTGCCTAATGCCTTGATGCACCATCAAGTTATTTATTTTTCTATATTCTATTAATCTCTCATTGCAAAATCTCTCCTTCCAATTACTACTACACTTTTGTTGCCTCTAAGTTGTGCCCCACTAGGGGCTTGTTGTGGACTCCAAAGTCCTGGTTCTAATGGATTTTTGTTGTTGCTTGTTTGGTTCTCCAACTAATCACAATAACATTGCAATGAGTATTATTGTTAATCACAATGATGAGCATGCTCGGAGAAATTTTCTTGTTGTTCTTTTATTCTTTTGATTTCTAAGCTGATTCCTCTTGAGTTATATTTCTCGCTTTTGTCTTTGGGAAGTCTCTTATATTTCATATTTTTCTTCCTTAGGCTTACTTGTGCCTCCTTTGGCTGAGCTTCTGCATAGTGTCCCAGTGCATTTTTTTTATTTTAAACTTATTGGGCAATGTCATCCCCCCCCCGCGAAGAAAAGAAGGTAGACGTTGTCACTGATAAAAAATGTCAGTGAGCTTGCTCCAACCTTCATAGATTTGTGAAAGTGGGATAAGCACAAGCCACGCTACCAGATTTCAATTGGCGGCAATGAAATGTAACCCACCATGATAATATTAGTGGTTTTTTTTAATACTCTTGCATAGATAAATCACTGCTTAACCAATGCGTTCTCTTTATTGTGAATTCATAGAGGAAGGGCGTGTGCAGGATAAAGCATATTTTTTGTGAACTTTTTATATCAAAATTGTTAGTTCCCAATCTATAAATTACACACTGCACTCTCCAAACAGTTATCAGTAAATAAGAACAAACGACAAAGAACAATGGAAGTTCTACTAATGGAAAAGACATACCTAAACAATAGAAACCTTGACAATGCTATGAGTAAAATTAGCAAGAGCACAGAATCCAAAAACGCTGATCCTCCATAAAATTTTGAGCGTTATGTTGAAATCCAAGTCTATAGCTTGAATCCAAGTCTATCAAACATATCCTTGCACTTAAGAGAATTCTAGCAACATAGAGTTTCACAAAAAAATAAAACCTACATAATAGATAATATCAAACCCTACCAAGAACGCAAAAAGAAACCAAAACAACCCGTTTCGTATCAAATTATTCAAACAGAGAAACGGAGGATCATAAAACCAGCCATCGCTGAAGGAGGAAAAAAATGCGGTAGCGCCTCACCAATGATATTAGAAGAGTGGGAGAAAATTGGGCCGAGGATTCTAAGGTCCCGGGTAGGGATGGAAGCCCGCCTTATAATGGCGTTCTTGTCAAGCTCCGCTACTTCAGATTGGCCCGTGCGGTCGAATCGCATCCAAAGCCGAGAACCTGCCTTCTTCTTCGCCCCTTTAGCCCCCGCCTGCACTGTCGGCCCCTCCCCTGCGACACCAATCGGCGCCGGTGCCATCAACGGCTGCAACTCAGTTCGCCGGGCCGATCGTAACTTCCTTGAGAAGAAGGAAAAGACCTTCTTCTTCCCCGCTTGCTTCCCCATATCTTCCATATATCGTGGGAGAAACCCTAGCCGAAGGTTTCAAAGTCGATATCATCGGCCAGTGTGTGGAGGAGAGGAGAAGCAGAACGAAGGAGGATTTCCTTCTTCTTCTCCCCTCTCTCTCTCTCCCTCTCCCTCTCTCTCTGTGGCTATGTTCGGTCTAAAAGGTTCGGATTCGCGATGAAATGATCGGAGACGACTGAAAGGGGTGAGCAATGGCGGCGAGCGCGGCCGCGGGTAAAACTGTAATTCCCCGCCGCACGCGCTCGCAACCAAAAGCGCTGTATTTTACATCACACAAACGCTACGAAATTCCAATTCAAACTCTTCAACTAAAACTTTATTGCCCTTTTTTATCAAATAAAAGTCATTAATCAATTTTTAAATAAATTAATATAAAAAATTCTAATCAAATTTTTTATTTTTGTTTTTTTTACTTAATGTTAATTTATTACAACATTCCTTAGGTTCATATAATTAAATTATTAATAATATAACTAGATTTAAAATATAATATTAAACACAAAAAACATAAAATGAAATATTTTGAAGAGATTTTCTTAATATTTATATATTTTATCACATATTTATAATTTTAAATAATAATTAAATAATTTAAATATTTATTATATCATCATAATTCAACTTAAAGTTAAAACATATTTGAATCTTTAAATTTTGAACCTCTAATTCAATTTTTAGAATTTTATTTACAAATTTATTAATTTTTTTATTTGAGACTTAATATTTTAAAAATATATCTAACAAAGCATAAATTTATAAATATAGAATAAATTTTCTCCTAAAATTTAAAAAAAAAAAAATATATTCTCTTTTACTATGGCCCACATTAATACAGTTTCCCTTTCCCCTTCATTATTGGCCTGTTCAAATCCAAAATTCAAAACTGTATTTAATAAAGCCAACCGACATAGATTTAGCATATTCCTTTTCTCATGCAATTGCAGGATATAATTGAAGCATATCCTGAATTAAATTTAATTAAAATAGATTTTATAACTATTTAAATTTATTTTCAAATAAATAAATAAAATATATGGCTAATAAATAAAATATGTCTATTTATTTTTAAGTAATAATTAAATTATTTCTTTTTATAAAAAATAGCATCAAGCATTAATTATTATATAATTATTCTTTTTTTTTTAACGGGGTATTTACCCCTTGCCACCCGCGAATCACCCGCAAAGAGGGAACAATTATTATGTCCTCTGACCGGACGTAGAGCTACGTTCGGCCGCCAATAACATGTCGCCACGTGCTCTTACTCTTCACCGTGCGGCCCGATGACTTAACCCGGACCGAAACCTGGGAATGCTATGTTCGCGTATTGCGAGGTATTACTCGGTATTGCTTGACAATAACGAGAAATACCGCTCTGTGAAGACAAATATCGAGTAATACCGAGTTGTACCGAGTTTTTTTAGAAAAACTCGGTATTTCTCGGTATTACTCGGTATTGCTCGGTATTTGCTCGGTATTGGTTATTGCCGAGCAAAATCGACAAATACCTAGCAATACCGAGCAATACCTAGCACAATTGAGAAATACAGAGCCATCTTGGGTCCATTCCGGGTCGGGTTGTCGGGCCGCGCGGTAAATAGTGAGAACGCGTGGCGCGATTCTATTGGCGGCCAAACGTAGAGCTACATCTTGTGACCAGACCAAATAAAAGTTCGCAGAGAGGAGAAGCTTGGCAGGGTAATTAATCCCTCAATGGATTTAACGACAATGAAGACCATGCACTTATTTTCTCCTCACGCAAGGAATTGTGCCGCTTGAGAGAGGAATCAAACGTGGGTTGGGGGTTCCCAACCACGCTCGTCCACCAACCCAGCTAAGCCTTGTGGGGTTATATAATTATTCTTAGTTGCCACCTTGCTGAATAACTAAAAATTTATAGTATTACTAAAAAAAGAAAAATTTTAAATTATCAAGGATAGATCTTCATTCTTTATTAGTAGAATTTTGACTAAAATTGTTAAAATAGACCCATATTTTTTATGTGAAGGGGATTTAAAGTTAGAGAGATTAGGGATATAAAGAATAATGCAGCTCTATTCAATGATTGATGTCGAAGATCGACCACTTTCACTCGACTGCCATCACCCAATGATCGATACTCAAATAGATCATTGTTGTTAGGTTTTGTTCATCTATCTGATATCAATCAATTATCATTATCTGATCTCCAAACAACAATTCGTCTAATCACCATCATCTGCTAACTATTTGATATCTATTGATTATCGTCAATCGTTTAATCATTTTCATCACCTTTTTACTACATCTTCAACATTCTTTATTACAATTTCAACTTTTATTTTGGAAGTAAATAAATTAAAAAAAATGTAATAAAATAACAACCAGGGTTGGTTTTGCAATTTTCTTTTCTTCTAGTCAATTTTTTAAATTATTGTAAATGTGTACCTAGTGGGTGTGCAATTAAACTAATAAGTTGAATAAAAATTAGGTAATTAATAGGGATGTAGTAATATATAGTACATGTGAGATGTTTGTGTTAGATTTGGTAAAACTTGATTGAGAGGGTTTTCAAAGCAAAATTGCTTTGAAAATTTTAGTGTACTTATTTAAAATTCAGGAGATCAAAATTTTTCATTAACACAAATGTTTAATTGCATTATGATCATAATAAAATGATACTCTTAGGATCTGTTTGAAATGATTGCAGTTTTTTATAAAGGTGATTGTAAAACTGTTGTGAATTTTTTTTTAAGAGAGAATACGGAAATTTATGTGATTAGTGTTGGATCCAAATTTTTTCTCGGAAGATAACAAATCTTACTAGTATATTGAACCTGATCAGCTAGAACTTGTGAGAGTGGAGAGTGAAGAAAATAGAGAGAAATCTATAAAATGCTCGAGAAATTATTATTCTCAAAATTGACAAAGTATATACTATCTATCAAAAAGTCCTCCAAACTATTCAAATAAGGGGTTAGGAGGGTAATAGAAAAGGCAATATAGAAAAAAAAAAGTAAAAATACAACACTATATCTATCACATATACAATACTACACACTACGCTAAACACATGTCATCGATCTGTTGATAAGCTGAGGGAGAGTGAGGGAATGTAGAGTTCCATCGATTTGTCTTTGGGCAAGCTCGATAGTGTTGAATGAGGATTAGGCAAGCTTGATAGTTTCGAGTAGGAGTCGACAAACCTACGTGGGAGTTCATAAGAGAATGTGCTTAGATGTTCTGAACGTTCCTGGCAACTTTTTCTGCTAGTTGAGAAAGCTAGTAACATATGATGGTGGACGAGGTGGGCTCGATGGTCGCCCAATCACGATAGGGCGAGCTAAATGCTCCTTGAAAATGTGTTTGGATGAAGGAGTGGTTGCTTTGTAGAGAGCAAGTAACTAATGCGACATCCTAGCACGTACGCAGTGTGTGTCGAGTTGTTGACTTGGCTAGGAGGTCCTGATTTGCCCTGTGCTGTGCGACCTCCTCAGTAAGCCCATGCGAATAGCACTTGTTGATTCCTTTGGCGAGTCATTCTATGAGCCTTAGGCGCATAGAATCACACATATCATTTAGCTAATTTCACCCTATGGACATCTCCGAAGGGCAAGTTCCTACCATACCATGCTAAATACTTTCAAATGTATATATAAGTATACAAGTCAATCTTACATACTACATCCACTTATACATCAAGCCAAAATAATAATAATAATATAAATGAAGTAACTACTACAATAATGTTTCTAAATATAAAGTCTTATAGAATAACTTGCATGATGTAGGCCATGAATACTTTGCCAAAAAAAACAAACAAGTGTGCTTATAATAGTGCTTATTGAAAGCTTAATCATGCATTATTAAAAATTGAGTATATCTAATGTCAAAGGTTAATATTTATAATAGTCAAGCTGCACAAATTCTCCATCATGCTACCTCACCAAAGGACATTATAATCCTAGCACTAATCCTAAACAGCAATTAAGTATAATAATTAATAAAAATTAGCCATTTAACTATACAATATTATTATTTAATATTTATTAAAATCTTGATTTCACTAAAATTCTCAAAAATTTAGAAAAACATTCCTAAATAGGGAATCATCCTAAATATCAAATATTTAAGGAGTTTCCACTTTGACAATTTGATAAATTATATTTAAGTTATAAATTATAATTATGTAATATTACCCCTAAATTATAAAAATAAAGATTTAGGTTTTGTGTGGGACGGCTTTCTTACTGTTTTGTAAAACAGCTTTCTACTATAAAAGTTGTAATTTTTAAACTAAAAAGATATTTTAAAAAACAATAAAAAAGCCGTCCCAAACGAAGCCTTAGACTTAGTTTGGGAGAGCTTTTTTACTACAAGTCACTCATCTATATATATACTGCGAGCCTTGGGATGGCTTTCTTACTGTTTCTTAAAGCAGCTTTCTAGTTCAAAAAATAAAAATTTTGTACCAAAAAATTGATTTATGAAGCAGTAAGAAAGCCGTCCCAAACGAAGCCTAAGTGAACACTGGTCTGGACGAAGTTCTCTATGATTCGGGTGGGTAATTGCATGTATGTGACAAGTTATGTAATCCCATTCATGTTGATTAAATGGTTGAAATTAAATGAAATAAAATGGTAATAATTTAGATTCAAATCTAACCGTTCAATCAGAAATGGATGATTGGGATTGAGTAATTACATATAATTTTAGTCAATTGGCTCAATTCAGAAGGAATTGAATCTGAGATAAGTATGCCAAATTAACTCATAATTATTAATATATAACTTATAAAAAAATTCACCAAAATTTAATATAGAAACAAGTTCATAACAAAATAAATTTTCAATAAAAAATAAAAGTATATATAATTAATTATTATTATTATTATATATATCTTCTTAACAAATTGAGGTTATTTTTATGGTGTGCAGGTGATGGCAACAAGGCCCAGATCAGATCTGTATATCAATCTACCTGCTTTGGAGAAATTGGACGCCATGCTGCTTGTAAGTTTCACCAACTGCACTATCATTCATCTATTCTTTAGTTCATTTTTTATGGTACTATTTCAACAATAATATCAAATTTCTGTCTCACTATGTGGGCAAATTATTGCGTCCGGTCACCGGATGTCCGGACATCCAATCAGGTGATGCCACGCCACCCAAATACACTGGATCCCGATGCATTTTGGTGACGTGACGATACCGGATTGGTGTTCGGACGAATTCGGACACCAGACGCAATAATTTGCCCACTATGTGAGTTTGATTATATGAATTTTTTTTCTAATGTGTCCTGAGCCAATTTATCTTTTAAGATTTTGTTTGGGACAGCTTTCATACTGCTTCTTAAAACGACTTTATAGTATAAACTTCTCTAATTCAAGAATTTTTTGTACTAAAAAGTTGTTTAGAAATCAACAAAAAAGATGTCTCAAACAAAACCTAAATTTAATAAGAAAACGTCATTTCTAATATCTTCAAAGGAAGTTTTTTAGGTTTGCCACTACCTTTTTTAGGGTTTGTTTGGGAAAGCAGCTTTCTATTAAAAAAATTTGTACTAAAAAGTTGCTTTAGAAAGCATCAAGTAAGTTGTCCCAACGAAAGCTTTAACATAGGTCGGATCTAATACATCAATCTAGTCTCATAACTAAGTTATCAGAAGAACGAAGTTTCATGCATTCAAATCATCTAAGATAACTCTACTTCTTTTTTTATGATAAATTAAAAAATAAAAAAAATAAAAAAAATTAAATAAATCATAAAAAATTTACATGAGATTGTTAGTAGAGCTGAATTCAAGTCACCTTTGTAGAAACTAAGGAGGAAGATCTTCTTGCAAGATCTAGAGAGGGGGAGAGGAGGAGGGAGAGGGAAACTGTGAGCCAAATTCAGCAAATTTCTTTATTCCCTTGGCTGCTTTCCTAATACAAGCTAAAGCCTATTAATAGGCAACTAAGAGCTACACAAAAGCAACACAAAATGGCCATACACTTTGCCATACAAAAACCTATACAAAAAACCAAACCTAAAACTAGGAACAAAACACAACAATCTCCATCTTGGTCCTAGATTTACAAAAACAAAAGATAACAACTGTTCTTTAAAGAACAGCCAAAGAATGACCCTATCGGTCTCCTCCGTCAAAAGTGTCCACCGATATTCTAGCTCCACCTCCCGACAGATCTCCTGTCGCACTGCGTCCAACGCAGCCAATCCCGAGCACCCCTAGCCCGGCTTCCACGCCCTGTGCATCCACCTGCACCCTGCGCCTCAGTGCCAGCACCCTACGCCTCCAGCTCGCGTCATACGCCTCAAGCCCGCGCCTTGCACCCATGTGGTTTGTCACCAACCACATTCTGCACGTATTCACCCGTGCAGCGAGCCCTGCGCCTTCACCTGTGCTCCGCTCGTCACCAGTGCCCCGCGCTCCTATGCGGCCTCCTCGTGCACCGCACGACCTCGCACCTCCAAGTGCCTCGCACTTTCAACACTGCTCCTCAAGAACAACCGACACTACCTCAGTGTCTCCCGGACTCCACCTGAAGTCCAAAACTCCACCACAAAGAAGATCTAAGCTCTTCTTTAAAGATCTGAATCGATCTTTTAATCAAAGAGCAGAAAAATCCGCTTCCAAGCTAGTCAAGATCGATCGAAACTTGATTCAAGATCAAGCAAAAAATCTGGCCTCCGTGAGATCTGCCTGTTCCAGATGTCCGATTCTTTCTTGTCCGTCTTCTTATGTAAATCTTCTTGTCCGTCTCAAAAGCCAAAATAGCTTGTCCGATCAGCTTGCGCGAACAGCCTGTGTGGTCTTTGATTTGGCCTCATACAGGTTCTAACAAACCTTTCTTTGATTTAGCCTGAACGAATCAGGCCGAGCAAACCTCCACTGCCGTTCAACTCCTTACGCAGGCCAAATGAGCGGACATCCACCTCAACCGCACCTCCTTCGGCAAGCAGCAAACCAACGATTGTTTCCTCTGTCCAATGCAAGCCGGCAAGCCAAGGTCGACTGCAAGCACACCTTTTCTTACGCTTGCCCTGGAGTGCTTCAGATCGCGGCACAACGTCGTTTTCTCCACCTCAAGAACACATTCCTCGTTCAAGATCGTCACCAGGGCTCTAATACCAAAATGTAGAAACTAAGGAGGAAGATCTTCTTGAGAGATCTTCTTGCAAGATCTAGAGAGGGGGAGAGGAGGAGGGAGAGAGAAACCGTGAGCCAAATTCAGCAAATTTCTTTATTCCCTTGGTTGCTTTCCTAATACAAGCTAAATCCTATTAAAAGGCACCTAAGAGCTACACAAAAGCAACACAAAATTGGCATACACTTTGCCATACAAAAACCTATACAAAAAACCAAACCTAAAACAAGGAACAAAACACAACAATCTCCACCTTGGTCCTCCTATATTTACAAAAAACAAAAGATAACCACTGTTCTTTAAAGAACAACCAAAGAATGACCCTGTCGGTCTCCTCCGTCAAAAGCGTCCACCGACATTCTAGCTTCACCTCCCGACAGATCTCCTATCGCACTGCGTCCAACGCAGCCAATCCCGAGCACCCCTAACCCGGCTTCCGTGCCCTGTGCATCCACCTGCACCCTGCGCCTCAGTGCCCACGCCCTGCGCCTCCAGCTCACGTCATACGCCTCAAGCCCGCGACCGCGCCTTGCACCTATGTGGTATGTCACCAACCACATCATGCAAGTATCCACCCATGCAGCGAGCCCTGCGCCTTCACCTGCGCTCCACTCGTCACCAGTGCCCCGCGCTCCTATACAGCCTCCTCGTTCACCGCACGACCTCGCACCTCCAAGTGCCCCGCACTTTCAACACTGCTCCTCAAGAACACCCGACACTACCTCAGTGTCTCCCGGACTCCACCTAAAGTCAAAAACTCCACTACAAAGAAGATCTAATCTCTTCTTTAAAGATCTGAACCGATTTTTTAATCAAAGAACAAAATAATCTGCTTCCAAGCTAGTCAAGACCGATCGAAACTTGATTCAAGATCAAGCAAAAAATCCGGCCTCCGTGAGATCCGCCTGTTCCAGATGTCCGATTCTTTCTTGTCCGTCTCCTTGTGTAAATCTTCTTGTCCGTCTCAAAAGCCAAAATAGCCTGTCCGATCGGCTTGCGCGAACAGCCTGTGTGGTCTTTGATTTGGCCTCATATAGTTTCTAACAAACCTTTCTTTGATTTAGCCTGAACGGATCAGGCCGAGCAAACCGCCGCCTCCGTTCAACTCCTCACGCAAGCCAAATGAGCGGACGTCCACCTCAGCCGCAGCTCCTTCGGCAAGCAACAAACCAACGATTGTTTCCTCTGTCCAATGCCAGCCGGCAAGCCAATGCCGACTGTAAGCACACATTTTCTTGCGCTTGCCCTGGAGTGCTTCAGATCGCGGCACAAGGTCGTTTGCTCCACCTCAATAACACATTCCTCATTCAAGATCGTCACGAGGGCTCTGATACCAAAATGTAGAAACTAAGGTGAAAGATCTTCTTGAGAGATCTTCTTGCAAGATCTAGAGAGGGGGAGAGGAGGGAGAGGGAAACCGTGAGGCAAATTCAACAAATTTCTTTATTCCCTTGGCTGCTTTTCTAATACAAGCTAAAGCCTATTAATATGCACCTAAGAGCTACACAAAAGCAACACAAAATGATCATACACTTTGCCATACAAAAACCTATACAAAAAATCATACACTTTGCCATACAAAAACCTATACAAAAAACCAAACCTAAAATTAGGAATAAAACACAACAACCTTTCATTTAAATTTGAATTTATTCCATAAATTAATCAAAATTGAAGCTTAATCATTATAATTCAAATAATTGTTTAAAAATACATATAATTTATTTTCAAACGTTTGAATTCATATTTATTTTTTTACTTTTGTTAATCAAATTTATTAGCTAAGAATAGCACATGAAAGTGGGCCCCATTCCCAACTGCCTTTTGTACTTAAGCTCATATCATTAATTAAGCAGTTATTCAGCTGAATAAATTAATTAATAAAGAAAAATTGGGTTCGACAATTCTTACTAAATTTTGATGGATTTATTTTTTTAAATAATTGCAATATTAAAATTTATATTACACAGATCATGAAATAAATTTAAAAAATTCAATTAATAATAATTATTTTCAAAGTTATTGCAACACGCATGACACGAAGTAAGTCAACTTAACAGTTGTATAGAGAACCCGAAAAAAAAAACCTGTAATGACACGAAAATGAATGGATGGAACTGAAAGCAGGAAATCCTGGAGAGTTTTGAGAAGACGGAGTTCTGGTACGTGGACGACGGCGACCGGTCGCCGAGCGCGAATATATCGAGATCTTTCCGGCGAGTTCTGAAGAGAAACGAGGAGAAGTGGTGGCGCCCCATTCCCTGCCTTCCTTCTTACGGCCTCACGGCCAAGTCCCGTAAGGATCTTAAGCAGAAGCGAGACTGCGCTAACCAAATCCACAAGGCCGCCATGGCGATCAACAACGGCATTCTTGCTGAGATGGACGTCCCTGATTCCTTCTTCGCCACATTGCCCAAGGTATATATGTATATATTTATTTTACTTCAATTCATTTAAAATTGTTTATTTATTTTTTAACATAAGGGCCAATATTATCTTTTGATTTATTTGAAGGTAAAAAAATGATCCTCGATTTTTTAAAAGCTTAATTTTAGATTTTATTTGTGATAGTTTTTGTGCTATTTTTTAAAATAAATTTTTTTTTGCATAAAAAATTCTTAAACTATAAATTTTTATACTATGAAGCTTCTTTAGAAAATAGTAAGAAAGTTGTCCCAAATAAATGCTTCATTTGGGATTGCTTTTTTCTTGCTTTCTAAAACAGCTTTGCAGTACACAAATTTCTTGAATTTGAATATTTGTACTATAAAGTTATTTCAAAAAGCAATACAAAAGCTGTCCCAAACGAAGTCAAAATCTGAGGTTTCATATGGGAAGCCTTTTTTATTGCTTCTTAAAGCAAATTTTTAATATAAAATTAAGGTTTTGTTCGGAGCGGCTTTCTTACTGCTTCTTAAGGCAATTTTTAGTACAAAAATTTTAACTTTTGTACTAGAAAGTTGCTTTAAAAAATAATAAGAAATCCGTTCCAAACGAATCCTAAATTTTTTGTATTAAAAAGTTATTTTAATAAGCAGTAAGAAAGTCACTTTCGAACTTGTAGATAGAAACCTAAATGATCTTATAAAATGATTAATTTGCTCACTATTTAAAGAGTAAAATGATCAAATTATATTTTTATATAGTCAAGTCCTTAAAAAAAATTAAGGGACCAATTCAGCCTTTATTATTTTGATTTATTTATTGAGTTTGAGATAAAATTCCGCATTATGTTATTTTTATGATTTTATTCAAATTTATTTATTAACTTTAAGTTGTAATAGAGCTTCATTTGAGCATAATTTATTAGATATTTGAATTTATAATTCACCATTTGTGTCAATTATTCAATTAATTTTCAATGTCAAACAAAAAATATTCCATGAAGATTCAATATAACAAGGTAAGTGATTTTTTCTATAGAAAATTATATATATAATTAATTTAATTTAGATCAAATTATAAGAAGAAGCATGATCAAAGTTTAAAATATGTGAAGGAGCAGAATTTTACAAAAAATTAAAAAGAAGCAAATTAGTCAAACTATTTAGCATTTTTCATTGAAAACGTCAAATAGTTTGGATAATTTTAAAAAAGTCAAACTATTAGGCGTTTTCTGTAGAATTAGTCAAACTGAATTGGCCAAACTATTTGGCTAATTCTAAGAGCTTATTGCCATTAAAAGAGAAGCATAATATTAAGTTAAGTGTGGCAGAGACGAGGATGCTCGGGTGGATGAGTGGCTTTACCCTTAGAGATAGGATACGAAATGAGCATATACGTGAAAATGTTGGGAGTAGCTCCAATAGAAGATAAGTATAGAGAGAGCCGCCTTAGATGGTTAGGTCATATAAAAAGGTGGCCTTCTGATGATCTGGTTATGAGAGTAGAGGTATTAGATTTGACTTGTGTTAAGAAAGGTAGGGGTAGACCTAAAAAGACTTGGTTAGAAAATATTAGGAATGACCTTTCTTTATTAGATTTAAACGAGAATTTGACTTTTAATATGACACAATGGAGAAAAAGGATTCATGTAGCTGACCACACGTAGTGGGATAAAGGCTTGATGTTGTTGTTGTTGTAAGAGCTTATTGCCCGTTAGCCTAGTTTTAAATTTTTTAATGCGTCATTAATCAGCTAATAATATTGCTAATGTTACTTAATGAAAATGTGGGTATTCAATAGAATTAGCCAAATAATTTGGCTAATTTTATAGAATTAGCCAAATAATTTGGTTAATTTTATAGAATTAGCCAAACTATTTGGTATATTCAAAATTAGCCAAACAGTTTGACTAATTCTATAAAAAATGTCAAATAGTTTTGACTTTTTTAGAAAAATAATCTGACTAATTTGCTTCTTTTAAAATTTTTATTAAATTTTGCTTATTCACATAATTTAAACTTTAGTCATAATTCTTCTTAAAAATTGTTATTTAATTTATATGAAAAATCTTTTTTATTTTTTTATTTAGGATTTGGGCCAAGCAATATTGGAGAGTTATTCGAGAGTGTTAGAGAGCTTCGCATTCAACCTGGTGTCTTATATCGACGACGTGCTCTACATTGACGAATCCGTTAAGAAACGGTGAAGCTGCCGTTTGCACTTAACGGCAGGATTTTCTTTTCTTTTCTTTTTTTTGGGAAAGGGAAATTGTGCCTAATTAGCATTGTTATTTAATTACGCCAATCTTTCTCTGCTTAACGATTTGTTAACGGAGTTTGGTGGACTAATTAGCTGTTAATGGTGTAAGAAAAATAGCTTAAGCTAGAAATGGAAATGTAATGAGTGTTTTTTATATTTTTGATATATGATTAAATGCTTTATTCTTTTTTGTCATTTTTGTTATGTTTTTAACATAAAATTTGATAGGAGCTTATGATGTAAATTTTTTTTTTCGATTAGGAGTATTATTAAGTCGAGTTGACTCGTGAGTTGACTCAGACTTTACTCGATAAATATATAATTTGTCAGTTGAGCTTAATACAGTAATTAGTTAAATTTGTGTCAATTATGACTAAACTTATTAGCTCATGATTTAGCTCATTTAAAAATTATAAATATAAAATATACTTAGCCCATCTTCAAAATTGAGCATCTTCTCTGTTGTTAGAGAAGAAAGTTTATCTGAATCAATCATGTAAGAATTTTATGTTTTAAGGTGGCAGATGAATGATTGCAATTTTTTTTTTTTTTTTTTTTTATCAATTTTTTTAGTACATTTTTGTTTTTTTAAAATATGTAATTAATGATTAATAATACTTCAACATTTCTAATTAAATGAAGTGATGGCTATTGTATTAGCACTTGCAAGGCACTGCTACATGCATGTTTGCGTGCATAAATGTGTCAGCGTTTGGGTGCACCTCTTTTTTTTGTGACGAGGAAGTACTGTCCTTAGGCCAGTGAAAACCCATGTCGACCTAACATGCAACCCACATCAATTTACGCTGGCTAACACTTAAGGCTTTTGCTGCTTGCCACTTGGGTGCACCTCAATTGCATGTACGAGCACAATTGCATCCACATATGCTATTTGTTGGGGCGACCGACAGTCAGCCAGTGACATGATCCAATTCAAGTTCGATCTTTGTTCGAATATTTATATTCTACTATTTTTTAATATTTTTAACTCAATTTTGATATTTTTGAAGCCCAACAAATCATCATCAATCATGCAAATTTGGAGGGATCAGGGAGAAATTTTCAATAATTTTTACTTCAATTAATGCACTACTTTTAATAAAAAAAATTATTTGGTTCATGATCCTGAGAGGAAATTCACGTTGATATCTAGGAAGTGGCCATGCATCATTTTTTTTTTTTTTTGGAATTATAATTTCAATATTATAAGTTTTTTAAGTATATATTTTCAGACAATGAACTATTTGTCACCCAAAATATAGGGCAAATGATACATTTAAAGAAATTTCACTTGATAAATACAAATCTCAAAGTACTATTTGTATTGAAATGTTTTTTAGAACCTTTCAAACTCCAATTTCAATAAATGTATTGCCAAATTGAGCATCTTGACAAGACAAACGCATTGACACCAAAAGTGATATGATCGGAATATAAATGAGCTAAAAAATCAAATATTTGAGATAAAGTTGAAAATTTCATAGCATTGATTACAAATAATATGCAAATGTTGCATGCTTGTGGCAAAATTGAGGGGCTCAATGAAAGAAATCCATCAAGCTTAGGATCATTCTAAGGTCATTAAGGCATAAATTCTAAATGAACGTTTTATGATCAAATGATTTAATATGAGCTTTTCAATCGAGTGTTAAATATTTTGTTAAATTTATTAAAATCCTACTCCCAAAATATTATAAATTGACCCCTCTTTCTATGAATGGGATATCACACCCCAACTCGATCAGGATAGATACCATCGTGTTAAGTTGTGAGAGGCAATTCCCAAGATATAGTTTTGGAATGTTTATAGTATTTTCCAATTTCATTTCAAATAAGACTACAAACAATAGAGCTACTAAAATATCAAAATATTGAAAATAAACTTATCTACAAAGCTTCTTTCATTTCATTAAAATAAATATCTACAGTATGATAAATGACTACATGCAAGAGCTACATAACTAAAAATTTAACTAATCATGATCATACAAAAATCAAAATATCAAATACATATCAACTCAGATCTGATATTGAACTGCTAATCAACAGCCTCGTTCCCTTTCATAGACCCTAAAAACCACAAGCAACCACAACAAGCTACAACTGCTCAGTAGATCACACAAGACAATCTAAAATTTTAAATTCTCTTTTATTAATATTTTTGAATATTTAAAAATAGGTGAATAAATCACTTATTACACTAGGAACGGAAATTAAAGCATAATAATTATCCATTTTATTTAAACAACAATGCTGAAAAGATAAATCATAAAATAATTTATATCATATCTCAGTCGAAGACAAAATCTCAAAGGATTATGACCCATTATATCTCCTTTTTGTACTTATAGCATCAGCACATGCCCGTGAGCATCAAAATATTATTTATAACCATCAGAACATGTCTTATAAGCATGAGAATAATTTCTAACACAGATAAAATCTCAAAGAATTTTGATCCCTTATAACTCTCAGATAGTGACTTTCAATCATGTAAACATACATTTCATCACAGAAGCATATATTTATCAAATTATAATAGTAAAAGCAAAATTAAACACATGTCAGAATCACACAATATTGTATAATGGTAAATAACTAAACTTTCTATTGAGCAAATTTTCATAATGTTAAAACATAACTAAATTATAAAGGAGTGTGTAAAACACTAATTAAAGATATTTATTAAATTACACCATTATTTTTTAGGTTCATATTAATTTTTGTTCAACTAAAAGCACAAAAATTCCAACATACTCGATATAAAATTTTTATAAAATACTATAGATATTCATAATCATATTTTTTATAATATATAAAAAGCTACGCGATGAAAGTTTTATCGTTGTAAAGTTATATGCATTTTTTGCTAACAAAAATATAACTTTAATCATCAAATTCAATATAATTTCATATTTTTAAAATTTGAGATAGACATAATGTGATCTACCTCGATCCAGACAACTTTCTTACTATGGCCGATGGTTAAAAATGGCTTGAAGTAACCCAAAACGAAAATTTTCTCTCTCCAACCTCTCCCTTTCTCTCTCCCACATCGATTGCTTGAATGCAAATGATCAGATTAAATGAAAATATTTAATATTTAATAAGTTCATAGTGGCATAGCACTATGGCGCTCAAAGCGGAGCGCTGTGGCTCTAAAAAAATTGCAATAACTCATGAGCTGGCAACACAATTTCACTTCATAACGCCTTAGCTGAGTGTAGTGCCGCTATGCTCGATCGCCCAGTGCAACTACGCTCCAAAAGTGACATTCTCATATTTTGCCTAAATTCACACATAACACTTGGAACAAATTTTAGAGCACACTCAATCAATTTCATGCATTAACCAATGACATACAAAGAGTTAAAAAACTCAAAAGTTTAAAACCTTGCATTTTTCTAATTGGGTTAGAACTAGTGGAACTAAATGTTGAATCTATAGGTGTCACAACTCTTCCCTTCTTAAAAAAAGTTATTTTCAACATTTCATGGTAAATTTGGGTACAAATGTCTCATCTTAGACTCTTTTTCCCAAGTAACTTCTCTTTGTGTCATGTTTTTCCACTGAACTTTAATCATAGGAATCTATTTACTTTTGAGTTGTCTGACATTATAAGCTATAATTCTCTCTAGTTCTTTCATATAATTTAGATTTGGATGCACCTTAATGTATTCAACAGATATTAAGTTTCCAAAATCGTATATATATTTCTTAAAAGTGATACGTGAAATACATTATGAATTTCTTACATATGTTCTGACAACTGTAACCTGGAGGCAGATTTTTCAATCCTTTCAGCCACTTTAAATAGTTCAACATATCTTGGAGTCAACGTTCCTTTCTTGCCAAATATGCTAATGCCTTTTATCAGCCTAATCTTCATGCATACAAAGTCTCATATTTGAAATTCCACAGCCCATTGCTTAGCATCAAAATACTGTCTGTGTTGGTTGAGTATAACTCTCAATCTGTCTTTGACCAAATAGATCTTCTTAATAACATCATCAACCAAGGATGGTTCAATCACATATCTCTCTCCCACCTCTATCCAAGATAGTGGTGTATGACACTTCCTATTATACAAAGCTTTATATGGAGTCATATCTATGCTTGATTGAAAACTCTTATTATAAGTAAACTAGATCAGAGGAATGTGATATTGTCAACTGCCACCAAAATCCAGAACACAATGTCTCAAAAGGTCTTCCAGTACCTACATAGTCCTCTAGACAGCCCATCTATTTGAGAATGAAAAGTTGTACTAAAATATAATTTTGTTCTCAATCCTTGCTTATAAATACCTCTTCACAGTCTAGAGGCAAACCTGTCATCTATGTCAAAAACTATAACCTTTAGCATCCCATGTAATCTGATAATATCACGCACATATACATGTGTCAATATATCCATTGAATTAGTTTGTTGGATCGAATGAAATGTGTCGATTTTATTAGTCGATCAATAATGACCAAATAATATCATGTCTCTATCTTGACATAGGAAAATCGATAGCAAAATCTATTGTCATATCTTCCTACTTTCACCTTAGAAACAAAAGATCTCCCGATCATTGATGTTCTACCTTCACTAACTAATAGGCTTCACACTTCAATACAAAATCTATCACATCCTTCTTCAATCTAGACCACCAAAATATACCATTCATATCACTATACATTTTGCTGCTTCCTAAATAAATAGTGAGCCTCATATAAATATTTTGCCTCAAGTCTCCAAAAGTTGGAATCCATAATCAATTCTTATAGAAAGAAAACCAAAATCAGATGCATGCAGTTCAGATTCTTATCATATCTAATATGATCAATCACCTTCATATACTATTTATCTGGCTTTTGAACTTCCTGAATCCTTTCTTGTAATAAAAAATAAATAATCATCGAAGCCAACATATAAGAATCTCCCTTAATAAAATAAATCACATCCAACTGTAATCTTTTCATATCACATATCAAAGACTCTTTAGAAGTAAGCTGAAGAAATAAAATGCTAGGAGATTTTCTGCTCAAAGCATCTTCCACCATATTAGTCTTATCGGGTAGATACTAAATAGTTATATTGTAATCTTTGATCAACTCAAGCCATATCATTTATCTGAGATTTAGTTCATTCTAACTGAATATGTACTTCATACTTTAATAATCAGAGAAAATCTTATATCTAACACTATACAAGTAATGCTACCAAATCTTTAAAGTAAATACCATTGCAGCTAACTCCAAATCACATGTTTGATAATTTCTCTCGTATGGCTTCAACTATTTGGAAGCATAAGCTATACCTCTGCCATGTTACATTAGAAAATATCCTTAACCTTTTATTGAAGCATCATATAATACCTAAAATCCCTCTATATATACAGAAGAGCTAAAATTGGAGCAAAAGTCAAATAATCCTTCAATCTCTAGAAACTGGTCTCGCACTATGGTGTCTTTTGGTGTCCAAACAAAAGTTATTGACTTTTGAGTCAGTCTCATGAGCAGTGCAAAAAATTTAAGAAAGCGGTGCAAAAATTTTAAGAAAATTTCTTCATAAACTTCTTGTAATATTCAGCCATACCCAAAAAACTATGTTCCTTAAACATAGTATTAGGCATCATCCAATTAATAACTGCCTTAATCTTCTAGGGATCTATAAAGATACCACCACTACTCACCACATGCCCCAAAAAGATACTCCTCAGCAAAAAACTTCCACTTGGAGAGTTTAACATATAACTGATGTTGTCTCAAAGTTTTCAACACAATCCTTAAATGTCTGGTATGATCTTCCTCAGATGCAGAATAAACCAAAATGTCATATATAAAAATAATATCAAACTAATTCAAAAAATCTTTGAACACTTTTTTCATCAAATCCATAAAGACATCTGGTGCATTCATCACCCCAAATGGCATGACCAAAAACTCATAATGTCCGTACCAAGTACCAAAATGTGTTTTCATCACATCAACCTCTCTCACCTTCACATGATAGTAGTCAGATCATAGATCAATATTTGAGAATACAAAATATCCATCAAGATGATCAAATAGATCTTCAATCCTTGGTAGAGGATACTTATTCTTGATATTAACTTTATTCAACTTCATGTAGTCAATTCATATGTATTGTACCATCATTTTTTCTTCACAAATAAGATTGTTTCTCCCTACGGAGACACACTAGAATGAACAAACCCCATATCAACCAACTCCTGAAGTTGAACATTCAACTCTTGAAGCTCTTTAGGTGTTATTTTATATAAAACTTTGGAAATAGGAGCTGTACTTAGAAATATATCAATGCAAAACTCTATGTGTTTGTTCGCTAGTAATTTGACTAACTCCTCATGAAATACATTCAAAAAATTTTATACTATCGAGACAACATAAAGAAGGTCATAATCTATACTCCTATCCCAAACTAATGCTAAAAATACCATGCAATCCTTCTTACATTAGAAAATATCCTTCTCACTCAACTTACAAATATATCATATATGGGTTTAATGAATCCATATTCACACAAAATATGTAACTAACACACATGCATATGAAACAAACAATAATGAACATCGAGATAGACATAAAACTATCACTCAACTTACAAATCAATTTCCTATAACACTATTTTATGATCCATTTTCAAAACTACTGCTATGATACCACAAAATCTTGTCACACCCCAATTTGATTAGGATAGATCCCATCATCTTGAGCCATGATAAGAAATTCTCAAGATTTAGTTTTGAAATATTCATAGTCTCTTCCAATTTTATTTCAAATAAAATTACAAATAACAAAGATATTAAAATCTCTAAATACTCGAAAAAAAACTTATCCATAAAATATCTTTCATTTTATCAAAATAAATATTTACACTATAATACATGACTATAAATAAAAGCTATAAAATTTAAAATATAACTAGCAGTGATTGTATAAAAATTAAAATAATAAAAAACATATCAACTCAGATCTGATCTTGAACTGCTAATCAATAAACTCCTCTTTTTCAAATCCTTGTGGGCTCCGAAAAATTCCCATGAATAGATTGATTTATTTGATACAAGCTCCTTATCTTTATTTGTAAGCTAGTTATTGTAGGCACTACGAATTCCCTATTCCTTCTCATAGGTGAATTGTAGCATTCATTAGAGACTGAAGTATTCTTCTCGATGGTCATCATTGTATCAACATAATTACTAATAGTTCATTCACTTTCAACATCTCTACTTATTTTATTCTTCTTGCAATGCTCATTTTTATCCAGGATGCAGCCATCGTCATCAATATGATTTAAAAGTTCTCTCCTTATTAACTCGATAAGTGCAAGATTTCATCTCCATCGTTAGTATGAGAATCATCATGTTATTCATGTGTACATTCTTTCTCATAATTATTCAATTACTTTCCTTAGAATTGTCAAGTACATGATTTTGAAGAGCCACTTTGAACTCGTTTTCATTCTCATCGCAACAGGAGTTATAGCTTGATCGAATAATTTGATTTTAAACATATTGCAATATGATGTCATTTTATCCGTGACACATAAAATTTCAAAGGATTCTAGTTCCTTATAACTCACAACTGGTGATTTTCGATCATATAAACATACATTTTATCACAAAAGAATATATTTCATCTCATTGTAATAGTTAAAGTAAAATTGAACACATGTCAGAATTATGTAGTATTGTATAATGGTAGACAACTGAACTTCCTACTGAGCAAATTTTTGTAATATCAAAATGTAACCAAATTACAGAAGGATGTGTAAAACACAATTTAAAGATATTTATTGAACTACATCATTATTTTTTAGTGTCCAGATTAATTTTTATTAAATTAAAATTACACAAATTCCAATATACCATGTACAAAATTTTTAAAAAATATTTAAAATGTTCATAATCATATTCTCTATAACATATAAAAAGTTACGAGTGAAAGTACCATTGTAAAGTTATATGCATTTTTTGCTATTGAAAATACAATTTAATAAGAGAATTTGGTAAAATTTCATATTTTTTAAAATTGAGATAGGCATAATGTGACCTACCTTGATCTCGACAACTTTCTCGACATGTCTAACAACTGAAAAAGGTACGAAGCGGCTCAAAACATGAATTTTCTCTCTCCAACCTCTCTCTCTACATGACGACTACTCAAATGAAAATGATTGAATTAAATGGAAAATTTTAATATTTAATAAGTTATAATGACATAACACTGTGGCGCTCAAATAGGAGCACTGTGATGCTAAAAAAATTTGTAACAACTCGAGAGCTGGCGCCACAATGTCACTTTCTAATGACATGGTTGAGTGCAACATCATTACGCTCAAACACCCAGCACCACTACGCTCCAAAAGTGAAATTCTAGGATTTTACCAAAATTCACATGCAATACTTAGGACACATTCTAGAGTACGCTTAATTAATTCCATGTGTTAAAACACTCCCAAAGACATGCAAATCGTTGAAAAACTAAAAAGTTTAAAACTTTACCTTTTTCCAATCGGGTTGGAACTAAATGTTGAGCCTGTAGGTGTCACAGGGGATATGAACTTAAGTTTGAGAGAGCTTAGAAATCCAAATAAATTTTTATTGTCACTTGATTACTGTCAATCTCAACGCCGATGCCCACTACTAGCCATTATGGACACTTGATTACTGTCATTCGATCATCATCACTAAACTAATACATCTAACTACAACATCTCCAACATTCTCCCTCACATTCATAGAAATATAAATTTTTATTACGTGCTTTATAATCTCATATTTTTTTAGTTAAGGAGAAAAGCAAACTCTTTTAATATATTTATATAATATGTCATTTCATCTTAGCAACCTCTTACTTTTTTCATTTTCATATTTTATACATAAAAATTTTAATATATGCTACTTTCTTTTATATTATATGTGTATGTTTTTTAATCTTCGTGCATTGTTATTAATTTTCTAGCCTGCAATAATAAGTATTAGCTCCCTATTCGTGAACTTACACTTTTGTCATTTAAAAAATAACATGCTTAGATCTCGATAAAATATTTATGTAATAACAATTCTATTCATTGAAGCATTCCCTAGATAATGCGGTGTCACAGGAAATCAAAAGATTTATCGCGATACGACCCCATCAAAAGTTAAATTTCAACGGTATCGCTATTTTCTTATTGCTTCTTAAAGCAACTTTTTAGTTAAAAATTTTTAATTTTTGTATTGAAAACATATGCAAGACACGAATCCAAAATTTGAATCCAAGACCTCCCCTAAACCCTAAACCAACAAGCCAAGTTGAGTTACGTGATAATTTATATGTATTCTTATATCTAATTGCTTTATTTCTTATGCAATTTGTGAATAGTGTATATTAAATGAGATATGTTAATGAAAATAACTAATATAAAATCAAACAATATAAACAATTATTACATAAAATTAATTAATCTAAATTAAAAATTATTTATATCTTAGAACCTAAGAATTAACTAGCGGAGAAATATGATTAGTCTTTAATGTTCCAATAACTAAAAAATTTGGGATTTTTTTTTTTTTTTTTTGAATGAGATGAAAAAATTTTCTTGGATCACTACTCATCCGTATACCCGATCTCTAATTCTGCAATATTCGATTACAGATGATGAATGATAATTGCAAAAAACCACACACATAAAATTGTAATTACGTAAAACTGCAGCTGGGGTAGAACCGAATTATCCAATTGTGAAATCTATAAATAACCACCCGACGGAAGCATGTCGTCTTCCAAAAACGGATCTGGTTTTCTAGTTTCTTGCCGAAGATTGAAACCATTGATTTCTATACGTCTAGAAATCGAAGGAGAGAACTATTACAGATCTCATCGAACCATTCAAGATTTCGTGACTTTTTTTTTTTCGTTACAGATCGATATCGCTTCACGGGGCCCTGTGTTTTCTCGTTACTCGATACCGATTAGTGAATTTAATTAGGGTTAGGGTTGAGATCGGGACAGTAGTTTCGCGTGAGGCTTACGGTTGGTTTTTGGGATAATTTCCTAGATCTATCTAAGTTTATCGCTCGAATCGTGGGTTAATCAATCTAGGGTTTCTAGATCTTCCGATATTTGACGGATTTCTTTGGTAGGAATCATGATAGATCCTTCCCAGATGATTAACCGGACGTACGGGATGTGGCAAAGGCAGCCCCAGGCACCGCCGGCTCCAGCGCTAGCGCTGGTGGCGGAGGAGCCGATGGTATTTCAAAACCCTCGACCGATTTTTGTTCCGTCGGGGACCAAATCTGGGAGGAAGAACTGGAAGAGCAAGAAGGCTGCTGAAAAGCGGAAGAAGGCCGCTGCTGCTCCCGGAGTTGTATCCACCGTTGGAGTTACCGGATACAAACCGCCAACTCTGAAAGAGCTACAGTATCAGAATCGCGTGAAAGCTAGGCGGTTCTACCCGAAGAAGAAATTTAGTCGTTTCGTCCCCTTCGCCCCTCGAAATACAACGTCCTTCATAATCCGCGCCAAGAAATCTGGTGGTATTGCTTCTCTCATTTCACCCTGTGCTGTGACGCCGGCCATCCTTCCCACACCGAAATTCTCCCCCTCAAGGGAGAGACTGGTAGACATGGCCAAGGAAGAGTGGGGAGTGGATGGGTATGGCTCGATGAAAGGTTTAATTCGTCTCCGCTCTCCAACCGCCGCCGGCGGTCGTGCCGGCAGCGGTGGAACTGAAGAGGAGGAGGACGATGAGGATGGATCAAGCGAAAGCGATATGGAGGAGCATGTGGAGGTAGAGAGAAGGCTCGACCATGACTTGAGCCGATTCGAGATTGTGTATCCCAGCTTCGGGGAGGAGCAGGTAGTGTCGACTGGCACATCCTACCTGTTGGAAAACAGAGTGGATGACCAGGATACCCACATAGCTCAGCTTGAAGAAGAGAATCTAACTCTGAAAGAAAGACTTTTCTTGATGGAGAGGGAGATGGAGGAGCTTAGAAGGAGACTTCTGCTGCTGGAGACCGACTATAGATCACGCAATGAAAATTTTAACAACAACAACAACAACAATCATGGCGAAGATAACAATTTGAACTCAGAGGAGGAGGCTTCAGATAACGATTGTGGTGGAGATGTGTGCTCGCAGAAAAGTGTAGGAGATAACGAAGAGAGCAGCGGCAATCTTATGCAGGAGTAAAGGTGGTTAACTCAACTCACTGTTCTTCCTGTACATATTGCCGCTGGTTTCTTTCGGAATGCTTTTCATCATCTAAATTGTGTTTTCTACTGTCCTTTTGATGGCTAATGTTAGATTTGTTGCCAGTAGTAACTTTCTGATGATAAGCAGCTGATCTTAATTTCAAAAACAGTTTTATCTTCTCATTTTTCTTCATGAAAAACTGCTCTCTAGTCTCAGAAACTTACCGTGATTCCTGTGGCATTCTTATCAACAAGTTCTTGTGGGATTATTGGGAATCTATTTTCTATTAGTGCTTTATGATCCTATTTTCTAACATTAATGGGGATCTGAAATGTTTGTGTTGGTTTTTTGTTTTCAAATCTCTTCTTGTTCGTGTACTTTGTGGTGTTTTTATAATAAATTTCATTTGTATGATATACGATTATATAATATTTCTATTACTCAAATGTGTTAAAATATTACTCAAATGTGTTATTCTACCCACTGATGTTTAACTTGATTGATGGACGAGTACGATTGGGTACCCCCATCTGGTGTTCGATTTTCTCGGACGGCAGTGCTTCCTTCGGGGGGCCCAATAAAAGTTGGTCACGAGTTATAATGGGTGTGGGTAGCTCGTCTAGGCTGATCGGAGTTTCTATATCGCCGTGCGCCCTTGGCTTGCGGGGGTGATAGCGGACGGTTTCTTCTGACCAAAAATAAAAATAAAAGTGTTATTCTTTGATTTGATGGAAAGTACAAGAATCATCTAGACCTCTTTAGTGACTTCTTTTGGGGTTTCCTCTAGGATGCAGCATCTTAGCATCAACTTTGATTAATAATTTACGCTTCTTTTGATCATTCTGTATCTTTTTTAAAAGGTAGTGTTAAAATTATTGTTTTCAAGAATAGAGTTTTCTAAGAGAGAAATTAATATCATAAAGCTTTTTAAAATAGTATAAAATTTTGATTCTCTAAACATCATTTCTGTAAAAGTGGCACATACAAACAACAACTCAAAAAATAATTTCTATTTCCAAATTGAAAAGGCGAAATTAAACCGTCTCAAAGGGAGCGTCAGGTTACCAAATGCATCCGGAAGCTAATAACAAAATACCACGTCACTAAAGTGCTCGGTACAGGCGCTCGGTACACGCTCGGTACACTCGGTATGCTCGGTATTTTTTACTGGACGCAATAAAAATTCCTCAAAGGAGGCCTTATATTATTTTTTAAAATAATTTTATTGTAGTACAAATATTTTTTAAACTCAAAATTTTTGTGCTAAAAAATAATTTTAGAAATCAATGAAAGCTGTCTCAAACAAAGCAAAAAAAAATTAAAATTGAACATTATATATCTAAAAATTTATAAACTTAATAATATGTATGTAAATCCTCACGATCCAAACAAGTAAACGCTATGCTTCTTCAAAGCCAACATCCGTAGAAAGCAAAATTCAAACAAAGCCGAGATAAGAAAACGCCAAGCGGTACAGCTTTTTTTTTTATTCTCCTGCCATTTATTTGACGGCGTACAATTAACAAACACTAAAGCAACGGTAATTCATATGCAGCGCAAATTTTCGTAATTTTTATCAGGCAATTATTTATTAAAAAGATATATCAATCATTTTAAATATAAGTTTATATTATGATATAGATAAAGAAATTAATATTTATTTCAAATGACATCATTTTATTTGTCACATAGAAACCGACTCTTTTCAACGAGAAATTATTATATGCATACGCTCGATGTAGAGAATCGTCAGGACTGCTGCTTATTTATTCTGTAGTTACTACTTATTTGTAGATACACAGTAAATAAGCAATAAATACGTAGTAAATTAGCAGAATGCAGTAAGCACTTAATAAATACTCAGTAAAAACTCATAAAATACTCATTAAATATTCATCAAATACTCATAATTGAGAATTTGTTGCGTATCTACAAATACGCAACAAACACGTTGCAAATCCAAACAATCATTTGTGTTTGGACTCCGCACCGAATAGTTTCTTCGTTATGGGAAATTATTCTGTGTAGAATCCAGACGGGAATAACCGTCCAGATTGTGTGTATGTACAATCATAGTCCAGACGATTCTTCTTGTCCAGACTCCGAACATAATAAATTCTTCTTTCAGATTATAATAAATTCTCTTAAACAGAAACTCGTAAAATCTGCATTAAAATCGGTGACACTTAACCATTAATAATTACCTCTTAAATTTGATTAATATAAAAGTTTAGGGTCATTTGAACCCTTTTTTTTATTAATTTAATTTAAATTTGTCAAAAATAAAACAACCTTCCAAGTGTAAAAGTGTTTGCAGTTGCTTGCAGTTAAAGTCACGCTAAAGATTACTTGATTGTAGATGGCGGTTTGGTGGGAATGGTCTTTCTTGTGAGGATGGTTAGGTACTTCGAGTGGATCAAGCTTTTGCACTGTCAAAATAAATGTTGACCATTTTTTTTTTATGATTGTTATATTATCAAAAAATTATCTTGATTGGGCACGAATCTCGGGGGCAAAAATAAGTTGGAAATTTCCAAAATTAAAATCTCGGATCATCCGAACTCTGATTTCAGCAAATTTATAGTCGAACTAAATGTCTCGAAAAAATGAACCCAACGACACCAAATTATACTCAATTCAAGCTCAAATGGGCCCAAATCGAAGACCCAAAGCTCATTTGGAAGATTATAACTATAAATTGGATGAACAAATGATTTCCAAACATGACATACTTATAGTCGAATCGAGCGGCTTGACAAGACGAATCAACGAGCCCAAGATCGTCAAATTCTGATATCATTAAAACATTTAAATACCCAGTAAACGGCCCATGATCAAGTGGATAAATATCGACCATCCATTTAAACCACTCTTTGATCTCCATTCTATTTACTAGTCATACCACTCTCAGAAGATTATAAATAGACCCTCATTCTTCGTTGAAGGGGAACCCAAGCAAGGAAGAGAAAGAAGAATACCAACTAGAGTTCTCTTGCCATCAGACTCTTCCTCGACCACTGCTGGACTTTCAGACTTTCGCCCAGCCACCAATTGTCATAGGACTTCCGCCTGGCCACCTACTGACACCGGACTTCCACTAATCCACCAACTGATGTCGGACTTCCACCATCCACCGACTCACGATGGACTTTCTGTTGACCACCAACTAATGCTGGACTTCTGCCCGGCCACCAACTAACGCTGGACTTCCACTCAGCTTCCAATTCTTGTTGGACTTCCACCCACAGCAGTCTTTTTGGCCTCCGTCGACTGCTGACTATAATCTTTATGACCTTCGTCACCTAACGGAGGTCCTGACTACGGTCTTTTCGACCTCCGTCAGTTAACGACTACGGTCCTTCTAACCTTCGTTGCCAAACAATGGTCTTTCTGACCATTGTCACCCGTCGACTACGATCATTTCGACCTTCATAGCTAGATAACAATCTTTACGACTTCCGTCACCCACTGATTACGATCTTTCCGGCCTTCGTCGTTTGCCGACTATGTTCCTTCTGACCTCCATCGTCAAAACACAGTCTTTATAACCTTCAACACCCACTTACTACGGTCCTTCCGACCTTCGTCGTCTAACAATGGTCTTTCCAACTTCTGTCGTTCGACGACTTTAGTCCTTCCAACCACCGTCATCTGAATACGATCTTTCCAACCTCCTTCGCCAGCCAACTATGATCCTGCCAACCAAACGAACATATCAATTTTGATTCTTCACATTTCTACCATATAATGCACTTTGTATGATGTATATTTGCTACATCCAACTAATGCCTTCCGCCCAGGGACGGGCCTTATTTGTAATTGTTTGTAAACACAAGTTGATTCATTTAAGCTGTGTCAGACCCCGTGGTTTTTCCCCCTTTACAGGAATTTTGCGCGTAAAAAACTCTAATGTCTCATGAATTTTATACCCTCTCTCTTATATGATTATGTGCTGGATCTTCATACAAAGATAAAAAGTTAAACTTTATATTTCTCTACCGTCGTGAATATTCCAGGCCGCAACAATGATGCAAAAGGATTGAATGTGTTTTTTCATATAATTAAAAACAGAGCACTTTTGAGATTTTAATTCAATTTTTTTTTTTTCATGTAACATTTATTAAGTGAAAATATATTCAAAAGTTTTATTCATATCAAAATACATTTACTTTTTATTGTGGACTACTTTAATAAATTTGAAATGATCAAATTGATTCGAATACAATTTGAACAAGGTTTGAACCTAGTTTGATCAAAGTTGAGGCCATATGTTCAAACCTTGTTCGAAAATAGAAATAATATTTGAGTAAATTTTGAATATTGTTTGATAACGGGCAAATTATGTTTTGATTAATGTCAAAATAAGTTTAAATCAAGGTTCATAGTTAGCAATTTAATGTCTAATATCATTTTAAGTTTATGGTTCAAAGCGCAAATATAGAGTTTTTTTCATAAATAGAATTGATACGGCATCATAAAATTAGCTTGATCGTGCACGAATCTCGAAGCAAAAGCTAGTTGGAAACTTCAAAAATTAATTCCGGGAGTGTCCGAACTCCGATTTCAGCGAGCTTATAGTCAAACTGACCGTCTCGGAAATACGAATCCAACGACACCAAGATCAACCCAATCCGAGCCCAAATGAGTCCGAATCAAGGACCCGAAGCACTGTTGGAAGGTTGAAACAAAAATTTGAGTTACTAAACGGTCTCCGATTTTAACGAGCTTATACTCGAATCGAGCGGCTCGACGAGACGAATCCAAAGAGCCCAAGATCGCCGAATTCCGACATCATTAAGACCTCCAAATTTCCAACGAACTGTGCACGATCGAAGGGTTCAATATCGGCCGTCCATTCAAACCACTCCCTATTCGCCCATGATGTTACACCTATTTACGAGATATGTCACTCCAGAAAAATTATAAATAGAGCCCTCATTCTACACAAAGGGACTCAAGTGAAGAGAGAGAAGAAGAAGAGAAGAAGGAGGAGAATGAAGAAGCTCCTCCTCGACAACCGTCAGAGCTCTTCCTACCGCCTGAAGACGCCGGAACGCTGCTGAATTTTCGGGAAACGTCGGGAATTTGCAGAACTTTGTAACTTTGTGAAAAATTGATTGTAAACTGATCGTCTTGATTTGTAAGACGGATCAACCTCTGTACTTCATACAAACACTAGTGAAACTTTACAACTGGGCTAGACCCCATGGTTTTTTTCCCTTTTTGGGTTTTCCACGTAAAAACTCTGGTGTTCATTTCTCTTTTCTGTTTGTGTGCGGAATACTCGTGCAACGCTAAGACGAATAGTTTCTAACTCTACTGTCTCGTATATTCTAGCACCCAACAAGAATATTTGTCAAATGTATAACATCATTGACTTGCAACGACAATTGCTGACTAGCCAGTGATAGAGACTGAAGTAATGCCTTTTGATATGTCGTAAAAAATTTATCTTGATCGACCACGAATCTCGATGCAAAATTAACTTGGAAACTTCTGAAATTAAAATTGGGACCATTTGAACTCTAATTTCAGCAAACTTATAGTCGAGTTGAGTGTTTCAAAAATACTAACCCAACGACACCAAATCCAACCCAATTCGAGCCCAAACGGGTCCAAATCAAGGGTTAGAAGCGTTGTTGGAAGGTTCGAACCACATTTTGGATTATCAAACGGTTTTCAAACATAACGTTCTTATAGTCGAATCGAGCGGCTCGATGAGATGAATCCAACGAGCCCAAGATCACCAAATTCCGACATTACTAAGGCATTCAAATGTCCACAAAATAATCCTTGATCAAGGGATTCAACATCGGCCGTCCATCCAACCACTCCCCATTTACCCTTGATCTCTCGACTATTTACGGGTCATGCCACTCAAAAAATCTATAAATAGACCCCTCCTTTCTCTTGAAAGGGAAAATCAAGCTAAAGAATTAAAGAGAGATCGGAGATCGCTATTGCCTTCTTGCTCCTCCTCGACCACTGCCTGAGTTCCGCCGGACCACCGTTTGACGTCGTTGCTCCGCTGAACCAACACTTGAGGCCCTCACCCTCACCGGACCACCACTTGAGGCCCTCACCTTTATCAAACCATCACTTTAGGCCCTGACCCTCTCCAGACCACCACTTGAGAACCTCACCTTCGCCGGACCACCACTTGAGGCCCTCATCCTCGCCAGACCACCACTTGAGGCCCTAACCCTCGTCGGACTACCACTTGAGGCCTTGAGCTCCATCAGATCACTCCTTGAGCCCCAGAGTTCCGTCAGACCACCGCATGACGTCGTTGCTTCGTCGGACCACCACCTATGGGCCTTAACTCCGTCGGACCACCACTTAAGGGTCTGAACTCCGCCAGACCATCAACTAACTCCAGAGTTCCGCCAAATTACTGCCGGACTACTAAATGACACCCTAATTTCCATGTGACGCCAGATTTGACACTAGACTTCAACAATACGATTGACATTTGTAACCTGATCGCCCTCAAGGACGAGTCGACCCAATGTATTCAACTCAAATTCTAGTGAAATTTTTTCAACTAGGCTAGGCCCCATGATTTTTCCCCTTTCCAGTGTTTTCCAAGTAAAAAATTTTGTGTTATCTGTGGGTGAGCTGGATATTCGTGCAACGCTAAGATGTAGAATTAAAACTCTATCGTTGTATATATTCTAGTCCGCAACACCTTTAAACTTTATCTCATAATCATTCCTTGTGAACGACGATCGTTAGAGAAGAAGAAGATACCGAAAATATTACGTGTCCTGCAATTATTTGCTTAAAAATGTCACTTATATAATGCTCTATTTTTATCAACATGTATATTTCTTCAAACAATAAAATAAGTATAATTCTCTAATTTCAAGCATCATGGGACTCACTCATAAAGCCAATTTTCTTTTATATAATACTACTTTCTTCTAGCCCCGAATATCTAATCAAAATTTCAGCAAGCAGTTATATTTATTTTGATAAATTATACTTATTTTAAAATAAAATTAATATTTCTTACTAAGATTAAACCAAAATTTATCAAAATAAAATTTTCCAATATAATTTTCGGATCTTCAGTAGCTAGTGAAGCCCCCTCCTATCCCGTCTTCCCTTTCCTTTCCCGTCTCATCCTTTCAGCGCCAAAACCTTCTAACTCTTCTCTCTCTCTCTCTCTCTCTCTCTCTCTCTCTCTTTTATGGCTCTACCTGTTCGATTGTTATCGTCCTTATCCTTCTCCCCTTGCCGTCCCTCTTTCTCACTACGCCGCTTTACGCCGCCGCCGCTTGCGGCAGTCGGTCCTGACAGAAAGTTCCGCCCACTGCCCTCCGACGAAGATCCTCCGGAGGCTCCAGAGGATTCCTCCCATGGCGTCTCCCGCATGGAGCAGTTCCAGATTCAGGTCGCCGCAGCCCGCCGTCGCCAGGAGGAGCAGTTCAAGGAGGACCAGCACCTTTTTGTCTCTGCCTTCGCTCTTGAAGAAGACCCTCCTTCACCTGCCGACGGTGAGACCGAGTCATCCTCCGGAGACAACCCGTTTGGCGATATCGACCGTGCCATCTCACTCAAGCGCCAGGAATTCGTTAAACAGGGCCTTCTGCCTCCCAATCCACCGAAAAGTAAGAATAATGCTCCTCCCATTGATTCCATTGAGGAGCTTTTACCCGAAGAAGTCATTGATCTTGAGGAGATCGAGGAGCTTCATGGAATTACCGTAATATCCAATGACGAAATTCAGGAAGAAAATCCCGTCAAAATGCCAGAGAAGGATGCTGCTGCACTTTCCGATTCTCCATCATTTGAACTTGATCTTGAAAGTTTGGGCAAGTCCAGGAGCCATATATCGGAACCTAAATTCAGTATGACGCTTGCTGAGCTTCTGGATGATAGCCGGGTTGTGCCATTGTCTGTTTATGGAAATTTGGAGGTGTTGATCACTGAAATTCAGCATGATCCTAAAGAAGTCAGCTCCGGTGATCTCTTTATTTGCTGTCCTGGAGCAACCACTGATGGGCATGATTATTTAACTGAAGCAGATAAGAGAGGAGCAGTTGCTGTTGTAGCTGATAAGGTGATAAATTTAGATGAGACACTAGGGTGCAAGGCTCTTGTTGTTGTGGAGGACACCAATTTGGTGCTGCCGGTTCTTGCTGCTTCTTTCTATCGTAACCCTTCCAGTACACTGTCGGTAATTGGGATTACTGGGACACGCGGTAAGACCTCAACATCATACTTGGTAAAGGCGATGTATGAGGCTATGGGATTGAGGACAGGAATGCTGGGTTCTCTTGGGCACTACATCCATGGGGATAACAAATTGGAGGCTTCTGAGTCGACTCCAGATGCTGTAACTATTCAGAAATTAATGGCAAAGATGGTCCATAATGGTACAGAGGCGGTTGTGGTGGAGGCTTCTTCTCATGGTTTGGCTGAAGGAAGATGTGATGAGGTAGATTTTGACATTGCCGTATTCACTAATCTGACAAGGGATCAACATGAATTCCATGGGATAGAGGAGTACAGGAACAGTATGGGCAGGATGTTCGAAGGGATGGTTGACCCTGAGCGGCACCGGAAGGTTGTGAACATTGATGACCCCAATGCTTCTTATTTCATGTCTAAGGGGAATCCAGATGTTCCAGTTGTGACATATTCTATTGAGGATAAAAATGCTGCTGTGTATCCTTTGAAGTTTGAGCTTTCATTGTTTGAAACGCAGGTTTTGGTTCAAACGCCAAAAGGGATACTTGAAATATCATCAGGGTTGCTCGGACGGCATAATATATGCAATATACTTGCAGCAGTTGCTGTTGGGATTGCTGTTGGTTCACCATTGGAGGATATTGTTAGAGGGATTGAGGAAGTAGATGCTGTTCCCGGCAGATGTGAGTTGATAGACGAGGAGCAAGCATTTGGTGTGATTGTTGATTATGCTCGAACACCAGACGATTTTTCCAGGCTCCTGGATACCACAAGGGAGCTGGGACCAAGGAGAATTATAACTGGTATGCAGCTAATTTAGGCTTCGTTTGGGACGGCTTTCTTACTGCTTCCAAAAGCAGCTTTTTAATACAAAAATTAAATTTTTTGTATTAGAAAGCTGCTTTAAGAAGCAGTAAGAAAGCAGTCCCAAACAAAGACTTAGTTTTACTTGTCCGGTTGGTATAAAACAGATTAGCATGTTAAGAACAGATGAATGCTTATCTAACTCTAAAATACTTTGCTTATGAATTTAAAAAAAAACACACCCTTTCATTTATGCTGCCATTTGAAACCCAAAACTAGCTGCATGCTCATACCTTAGTCTTTTTCTGTTATGCAATATTATTTTTCGTTTAGCAAGAGCATAAATGCAGAGCAATGTGTAGAAAGATGGGAAGAGTAGCTCAATACTCATCTACTGCAATCTGCTCAAACATTTTATTCCAGAATTTAACCCTATTTGACATTGTATTCCACTATGCTTTAGATTGAATATGCTAGCTATTATGATATTCTTTGAGAACTTATATTTTACCTTTTACGCTATCAATTGTTTACTCAAACTTGAGAAATCTGTTGCTTGTACATTTTTGTTTTCACAGTCATTGGTTGTTGTGGGGAAGAAGAAAGAGGCAAGAGGCCACTTATGGCAAAAATTGCGACCGATAAAAGTGATGTAGTTATGTTGACATCTGACAATCCAAAGAATGAAGATCCACGTATGTGATATTGATTTAAATCTTCTTAAGAGATTGTTCACATAGTTGCAGATTACACAAGTAGATTATAACTTTGTCATTTTTTTTTAAAGATTGTTTCTCCTGTTACTTTTACAGTTGATATTTTGGATGACATGTTGGCTGGCGTTGGATGGACTATGCAAGATTATTTGAAATATGGTGAAAATGATTACTACCCACCTCTACCTAATGGCCACAGGCTTTTCTTACATGATATTAGGAGAGTAGCTGTGCGGGCTGCTGTTGCTATGGGTGAGGAGGGTGATATAGTTGTAAGTTTCAAACGATGACTTCATAGTTGTTTCTTCAAAGGCCCGGTAAAATAGCATATTCATATGGAGTAGTTAGTTAATTATAAATTGGATTTATCTGCCTTTTTTTCATTAGTAGATTTAGTGATACAAAGATTTTTTTTTTCATTTGCTTAATCACTAGCAATTATTTGCTAAGTTGATAACTTGGAAACAGCAAATTAATTCGTTACTTAATAACCTGAGTATTAGTTTGCTTATGTATTATAGGATGGGGCAATGCCTTCGACTGAAATTTGTGAGCCTGTACTCAAAGGGATTTACCATTGAATATGTTCTCATCGAGAAAGCTTCTATGTAATGCCTATCATAATTTTGATGAAGCTTGATTCTTATTTGTGCTATTGCAGCCTATAATCATCATGAGTATTTCTAGAATTTGTTTTTTTTTTTTTAATGTATTGCATGAGTAACTCAATGGAGTCATTTATAGTGATCCTGCTACTGTGAAAAAATATGCTAGACGTGCCCAATTAGGTGAAATCTTTGAATTAGACCGGGCTACTTTGAAATCCGATGGTGTTTTTCGTAGCAGTCCAAGGGGTTGGTTCACTTTTGGGCATGCTACGTTTCTATTATGCAACACCCAAAAAGTACCAATTTCCAAGTAGGTGGACATCCCAGTTTGATATAGGTTTTGTGAAAATAATATACTCCTGTGATTCTTTGGTCTAACTTATCTTTGATGGTTGAAATATGCATCTTTTAAAACAAGTTTACGTTATATGCTCAAGGTTGAATCTTTCTGGGTTTCTGCTTGTAAAAGCAGAAAACAAATTGTAACATTATGAGCCATGCGCATAATTTTCATTAAGATGTGATATAAGTGCAGCCAATGAATTAAAATCCATCGTTAAGATATATTAGAAATGATTTTTTTAATAGATTTAAATGAGAGTTTGACTCTTTATAGGACACAATGTAGAAAAATGATTCACGTAGTCTACTCCATGTAGTGGGATAAAGACTTGATGGTGTTGTTTTTATTGTTTTATTAATATACCATAAACTGGATAACACAGCTCATCAATTCAAACAGAAACATGCTATCGTTTGTAAGAAAATAATGCACTCATAGTTTGATACTTCCATAATGTTAGTTCAGTAAGTTTTTTTGAAGTGCTAGGTGCCAATGGAGATTGATCTAATGGGACAGTTTTTTTTCTTACTCCATTTAATCTTTTGAAGCTTAGTTTTATATGCTATCTGTAGGGGTGCGTGGATAGGGTTGGAGGAATTTTGAATGTGTTAGACCGGTCCATTGGACTGGTCCAGCTGGTCCACGCCGGACCCGAACATGCAGAAGAGTTCCACCTCTTCCTGTACGAGCGGCCAAGCCACCAAAGCCAACGAAGCATTTTAGGAAGTATTTTTTAGGGAAATTTGAATGTAGGGACTGTTTAGGGATTTCCTTTTGAATTGTATGCATTAAATAGTTTGTTTTCCAAGGGTTAGGGTATCTTGAATTTTGCTGAAATTTGAGATATCTTAGATTTAGGTTTTCTTCTATGATGCACCGACACGGACACGGCGACACGGACACGACACGACACGGACATGGCATTTTTTAAAAATATAGGACACGGGTGCGGCGTGGACACGGCATAATAATTTTTTAATATAATATATAGAAATT